ACTCAGTGTCGAGTCTTGGGTCGGTTGTACCGGGCACCTCGGCTCTGCTCAAGCCTCAGTCACTCTCCCTAGACCCCTCGGATGAACCCTCGGAGCTATCTCTAGACACAGAGACTTCACTCCAGGAGGATAGGTCTGAGGAGGCTATGGAGGAGGAGGGTCGGGGAGGGTCGGGTACACCATCAGTATCGCTCGGTGCGTCCCTGAGACAGGTGTGGGAGCGCATTGCCTCCATTCTGCCTCAGGTGGTCGTCAGTTCTGGCGCCCCCGACCCAACGGCGTTTCACCTCCCCAGGGAGGCATTCACTCCTACTTAGGTGGCAGACTCACATCTAGGCATTTTGCCTTCAGTCCTAGCTAAAGTTATTAACCCACTCCTCAGTGGTACCACGTCCAGGTTCGACTTGCCCGACACGCCACGGCACTCAAGTCCGCTGTATTGCTCCTCCAGTCCCTCAAAGTTACCATCCATTCTGCCTATATCTCGGTATTGCAGAGGCAATTAGTGGATGTGGGTGGGGTCGAGGAAGATGAGTCTCCCTCCACCTTGGCTAAACAATTGACGGAGGTCCAGTCATATCTGGCGCACGACTCTATTAGGTCGGCGGCTTGCCAAATGATGTTGGCGGTTATGGGCCTCCGTCGTCTTTGGCTCTCTGTTGCGCAGTATTCTCCCGCCACGCAACAGGCACTACTGGTGTTGATATTCCGGATGGGTTCAACCCTGTTCCCGGGGCAGCTACAGTAGTCCGGGAGGCCGCGGAGGCTGTGTCAACCCTTCAAGGACTCTAAGCCCTTGTTAGAGCAGCCTCACTCATCTCGCTCGGCCCCCGGCACTGACCTCTGCTTATCCTTCTGCCTCAGCGAAAGAACCTGTTAAATGGGCTCAGCCATTACAGTCGCGGAAGGGCAAGGGCAGAGGGCAAGGCTGTGGCGCCCCACCAGCCTTTTCAGAGGAAGGGGAAGTCAGCCCTGGCTTCCCAGCAATAATTCCTCCGGAGCTCTTGTTGGTACCAGATCAAGCCTTCGGAGTACTGCAAACTTCGGGTATCCATTGCCTCATGCCAAATATCCCTGTGGGTGGTCGACTTACTCTATTCCTGTCGGAATGGGAAAAGGTCGCCTCCAATCCCTGGGTCCTGTCCACACTCTGGGAAGGCCACATGCCACAGTGGAAGCGAGACCAACCTCCCATCTGGGATCCGTTGCACTCCAGTGCCGGCCGCCCCGGAGAAGGCAGAGGAGCTCCGTGCCGAGATCCAGTCATTACTGGACAAGGCAGCCATGGAGGTGGTTCCAGTGGGACAGGAAGAGGCGGGTTATTACTCGACCTATTTCCTTGTCACCAAAGAGGATGGAGGGTTCAGTCCTATTTTAAATCTCAAAGGTCTGAACGACATGATAGAAGTACCGTCCTTCAAGATGGAGACACTGCATTCAGTGATCTCATCTGTCGAAAAGGGGGAGATTGGCTCACGTCAATCGACCTCAAAGACGATACCTCCAAAGACCGTCCGCGATATGGCTCTGCCAATGTGGCGTTAAATATTAACTCACTCACTCCCCCAATGCACCCCGATTTCAGGAAGTACCTAAGGTTTTCCTTCAACGGGAGGTGCTATCAGTTTCGTGTTCTCCCCTTCGGCATCTCCACGGCACCAAGGGTGTTCACCAAACTCATGCTAATTCCAGCGCAGGTAGCAAGGTCACAGGGCAGGTGTTGTCATCACATTGGGCCTTCGGCATCGCGATGCCCACTCACTTGGTGGAGTTGCTATCAGTTTCGTGTTCTCCCCTTCGGCATCTCCACGGCACCAAGGGTGTTCACCAAACTCATGCTAATTCCAGCGCAGGTAGCCAGGTCACAGGGCAGGTGTTGTCACCCGTACCTAGACGATTGGCTCCTTCATGCGATTGCCACTCACTTGAGTGGAGTTGCGACACTTTCCGTGATGAGTATACTCACCAAGTTGGGCTGGATTATCAATCTCAAGAAGTCAGAACTGGTTCCCACCAGGATCTGGTTCTCTTGGGAGCGAGATTCCAGACAGCTCGAGGTGTAGTCTCCCTGTCTCTGGACCGCATCACCAAAGTCCAGAGAGTTGTGTTACAATTTCTCGAGTCCCCCAGGGCCTCAGCTCGGACTTGGCTCCAGTTGCTAGGCAACATGGTGGCAACGGTGAACATTGTTTGGCGAGGGCGGTTGAGGATGCGACCCATTCAGCAAGCTTTGGCTCGAATGTGGGTTCACTCCCAGAGTTACGAGTTGATTCTCCACACTCCGGGGTGGCTGATTCCTCATTTGCGGTGGTGGACAATGGCAGGGAATTTATCCAGGGGGATCCCCTTGGACATCCCTTCGCCAGATATCTCGATTCAGACCGACACCTCCCTCACAGGCTTGCTGACTTGATTGATTCATGACATTGTACTCCAATTGTGTAGATTGATGCTTGTGATGTCAATCACTGGATTGTCCAGTCCAGACTTGATTATTTACAGACCGCCATGTAGCTGGTATATTGATGACTATAGTTTAAACAACTAACAAACAAACATTTAGTGGTTGAGTGGACAAAGAAATCTCTGCCTAACTTCATGAAACTGGATGAAGTCCCCAGGTTTGTTTGATGATGACTTCATACAGTATAGAACATAGAGATGATAGCCCTGAATAGCCATGGATTGGATAAATCACAATGAGCCATGGGAATAACCTTTACATCTGATATCTTTAACCCTTACATGAACGCTCTTTCATTAGGCACATTACTCAAACTGAAAGAGCAGGAATTAATGCCTCAAGAGCCACTGAAAATCAAATCAGAATTTAGACATAAGATGGATTAGTGAAGGTTCTTTGAGTATTGTCATGGAAAGGCCAAGCGTAACACTGACAGTCATTCAGGCTTGTAATGATTGTCATGTAGAACAAAACCTTTCTGGGCTTGCTTCATTCTGGTAGGGAAAGCGAAGTGATGTGAAAACAATGTTAAACAAGCATACGATCTGTGTTATGCCTTACTTCAGATCGTCAATCATTTAAAACACTGAACTCAACCCAAGGTCTCTCAATGGCCTTGCTGACATCAAATATGTTTTTAGTCATGGTAAAACAGACATGACTGTACCTGTAAACATTAACCATGTTAAATTTTACTTTTGAAAATTTCAAATTCAATACAGTACAAACATGCAGGACTGGAAACACAGCAAGTTTATGTCCTAGTTCACTAACATTCTTCATAATGAAGCAAATACTTCAGGCAAGGCCCACCGTGATGTTGTTGGAATCTTGCTAAAAGCGGCATAAAACTAAACTCACTCACTCAGGCTAGGCTACCCCACCAAATCTCTGGGGCAGTGGAGTAGCCTAGTGGTTAAAGCATTCGCTAGTCACACCACAGACCCGGGTTCGATTCCCCACATGGGTACAATGTGTGAAGCCCATTTCTGGTATCTCCCGCCGTGATATTGCTAAAAGCTGCGTAAAACTAAACTCACTCACCCAGGCCAGGCTACCCCGCCGACTCTCTTTTTCATTCTGCAGTAGGAACTAGCTCTATATCAATGACAACATGCTACGCTTTACTGATGTGACATTGTCTATGAACCCTAATGATTATTAATACTGTAAATTATCAATCATACCATACGTTGTTATACTGTTATGGGAAATTTGAAAACACAAGGGACAGTCACGAGGGAAGTTCATCATGTTCAGACCGTTCTACTAAAAGACCGGAACCTCAGAAACCATATAGACGTCTGCTGTCTCCTGAACCCACAGTTCCATAGCTTAACCAAACATTTGTTTCCCCCTGTGACAATGACCAGACAGCTCCTGAGCTAACATTGATACAAATGATTACCATGATTCTTTATGTGTGGGAGTTTGGGGTATAACATCACCCAGAGCTGTGCTGATGCAGCTATACCTCATTGATGAAGTTGCAGAATGGTCTTCTTCGGAATTAAAATGCCTGGTAATATTGATTGTGCTGAGATGTGGGGGTGGGAATCTGAATTTGAGAGACTGGAAGGAATTTCTAGACAACAAGAAATATTGTTGGAGGAATAATTAAGCAGTTTTATGTACTTCGATTGCAATAAACAGAATCTGTGGCTCAGGGGGAAATGTGTGTGTGTGCAGATGAAGGATCAGGGCCTGTCATTATCCTATTGTAATGTAACACCATCACCTTTGATTTGTATCCAAATGAGTTATCTGATTTTTATTTGACATTTAATTTTTTATATCATGCTCAAGGAGATGCTGAGATAAATGTCACCCTTGCTTTGGTATTGATTTGGAAATGCTGCTTTTCTACTTGACGAAATGGAGTGATTGATATGGTTCTGTGCTGTTTTTAGCAATATTCCTGCAGTTTCATGGCCAGAGACACCAGAAATAGGCTTCACACATGTTCCCATTTGGGGAATCAAAACCTGGTTTTCAATCATGTGCAAACACTTTAACCGTAGGGTACCATTCATCACTGGAATGTTGACTTCTTTCCAGGAAGGTTTTCTTAATTATTGGTTCTTGTAAGGAGGTGAATAATGAAGATTCATAAACATTTGCTCTATCAGACTTATTACTTTGTAAAATTACTTTACTTTATATCTTTGCAGTTGTACTCAGTGGCGGATCTCCCCCTACCACCACCACCCCCTTTGAAAGTGACTTAAGACCACATTGAAAAAAATTGTTTGGCGTTGGCAGAGCCAAAGGGGGTTTTAACCCCCTGAACCTCCCCTTTCAAAATTCCTGGATCCGCCCATGGTACTGTCCTGTATTGTACCGTTTCCACTCTTTCCCATGGACCTTATTTTGTTCTTTGAACCTGAAGGCTTTGGACTTTCCTCTCGCAATTAGCTGACCTGTTGTAACTCAATTACTGTCTAACGTGGTGTTCAACCAAACTCATTCACTCACACAAAAGATAGATCCCAGCGCTTACTAAATAATAGCATAATGTCTTTACTTGTATTTGCAGATGAGATGCATGCAGAGTTGTGCTATGCAGAATGTCTATTGATTCGAGCCCTACTGACCTTCATACAAGATGAGAACCTAATCAGCTTTGTCAAGGGAGGATTGAAAATAAGAGAGTGCTACAAAATATACAAGTAGGTTGATTAACTTGCCTTCACAGCCAAGAAACTCTGAAACTTGATTAGAAAAGACAGTTCTTTATTTTGTCTCTTCTGTGACCAGAGGTCCTAATTGTCCTCAGTTGTGAAGTAATCTGTTCATGTTTAAGGAATGGATTTATTATTACTATATCTTGATCATAGTGGTTCGTTGGTTGTTTAACATCGATCTCTGAAATATCCCAGCTATATGGCAGCGGTCTGTTAATAACTGAGTCAGGGCTAAACATGAGCATTGATCTAAAGAATTGGGATACGATGACATTTGTCAACCAAGTCAGCGAGTCTGACCACCCGATCCCGTTAGTCGCCTCTTACAACATGCATGTGTTTCTGAAGACAAATTCTAACCCAGATCTTCACAGGTCTGGAAAGTACGTGACCTGATATATATTAATGTGAATGTGTTCTTTTGCCTTGGTTGCTTCATTTTAATGTTAGACACCCAGCTCGCTCATATGATATTGTGAAACCTGGTAGATAAATGGAAAGGCTGCATAATGATCGCATGTCAGTGAGGATAACATGGTTTTAAAATCCTACACTTCCAGGCATTTTATACAAAGTCTATTATGATTTTGCTTAAAAGAATACTTTCCTTTATGATATTATGCTTGAAAATGACTCTGATTGTATTCTAACAAAGATATGCAAGGTGAGCTTCAGTACCTTAACACTATCGTTCAACTTCTGTTGCAGGGAGTGTAACAAGATGCTGATCAAGAGGAAGTGGGACGGAGGAGAACACAAGATCCACTTCGAGAGTGGGGTCAAGATGGGAGTGGGGGCATTCAATCTGGTGAGCTGACCGTAGAGATATGTCGATGTTAGTAAACCATAAATGGTCAAGGCTGTTACTTGTTCACTGTAGGAAGCTTAGGAATAATATGAAGTGTCAAAACTTCTTTTTAGGATATAAATAATGTTTGTGGAATTGCTCTCTGGAGTTTGCTTATGTTCAGATTTCATTTTAATTGCTTCCATGTTCTTTTCATTTCATAAGCTGTTAAGTGCTTTGTAACTGTTACTGGGTAACTTTAGTTATGGAAACTGTTGGCCCAGACTTCAATGTAACTTCCAAAAATATTTGCTGTAGGAAAGCTGAAGGGGTTGTCAGCACAGGTACTACAGATATGTACTCCAGGTATATTATAATGTACCCTGAACAAGTCAAAATGCTGAAACATACCCGGTACCCAAAATGATGGATGAGTTCATATATTTCTCAACCCCAGTACGGTAGTTGTTCTCGTTCAACTGATTGTGTATGAAGAATGAGGACAGGTTTATGGATATACAACTTTTAGATTCAACATAGATTCTAATGTTGTTTTCAAGCAAGTGGTACATGAGAAGTACCACTTGCTTGACAATGACATTAGAATCTATCAACTTCTCGAATGCCAATCAAATAAGTGATTGTGGATGGTATCGTTCATCACAAGATATTTATCACTGTGTATGCTTGTTTCTTTTATGATGCAATCAAATGCATCTCATACAAAAATATGACAGTTCTGATCAAGAAAATGCCACAATATGATTGTGTATTCTGATCGAGTCTGGGGTACAGTTCAAGACACAGAAAACGTACCTGGGTACATACCTGTAATACTCGTGCCGACGACTCCTTCAGCTGTAGTAAATGAAAAACAGACAAGCTTTAAGTTGATAAGTGTTGGTAGTTGATAGTTTGACTCTAGTTTTGACAGACTCCATCATTTTGGTATTCCCAGTACTTCTACAAAATTTCATCCTCAAAACAGCTATGAATAATATCTTGTATACATTCCTAGGATGATACTTAATGGGGAAACAGTTGGTCCTAAAACATTTTCTCTGAATCATTTGTTTTAAAACAATGCCAGTAAGGATCAAAGTAATATCACAACTCTGCCCCTTACTAAAGTGTTTAACAAGTTGTTTCATGGTTTTGTAGTCAACCATGTAGAGAAACAGTATCCTTGTTTCAAAGGGTGATGTTTGTGTACATGAACATTGTCTTGAATAGATGATGTTGGTCGTTACAAATATTTTGTCACATTTCAGATGATATCTTTGCTGCCAAGCAAGATCATGAAACTCTTGGAGTTTGTGGGATTTTCAGGAAATAAGGTATGTATGGACACAACTTTTTCGTGTGAAAAATTATTGATTGTGAGATTCTGCATATATAGAAATGATATGCCAGTGGTATTCATCAAAATAATTGTTTATTGGAATACAATATTGGAATGTCCATTTTAATAAGTATTTTTTTCCCATTGTATAATATCTCAGAAAATTTGTATGGTATGTTTGTATCCAATTGTAGAAACTAGGCTTAGCCGAGCTCCACAAAGGCAGTGAAGTGACAACCAGTTTACGAGGACCTCTATGCTCCATCATGTTGATAGCATACCATACTGTAGTAACATTTGTTCTAGGTGAGTTGCTAATGCCAGTCTTCAGGAAAATAGTTCACGAATTGGTCGGCTGTAGTTAAATTAGTTCCCATTATAATATTTTGGCAGATATTTTTCTGTGGTATATGTTGGTAATGATCATGTATATGATTATTGAATACAATTGGTAGATTTATCATGTTTATCATGTTTCTATTTTTTCTAACGGATCAGAGATTGAATGATCAGGCATATAAAACTAAATAAAATCATTAGCCCCCAAACAAATATTTGTAATTTTCATATTGAGTGGGTGGATTTATGATGAATTGTATTTTTCACAGGTTTAGCTGATGGTGATATAGACTATGCATCTGAGTTACTCAAACCTTGTCTTAGAAACTTTCCTAAGGTGAGATCTGGTCTTTATTTTTATGATTTATGACTCTTTTTATATGTAGCGCTTTGAGCATGCTCTGGATGGACTATGGCGCATAAGAAATATCCATTTATTATTATTATTATATATTTACATGGCATGAATAATGATGTTCTCAGGGCTTGCATGAGTGTGCCTGTTAGTGATTCTAGGATAGGTCACCTTAAAGCACTTGACATTATAAAATATACTGTGTGGTGGACCATTTATATATGTTTTAGTGGACAGAGCATTTGCCAGGAGTTTGGAAGCGTAGTGTTTGATCACTGTCCTTGTCATACCGAAAGATGTTAAACAGTGGTACTTCTTGTTACTGAGTAATGCTTGACATGAATACATTCATACATGCATACATACTAATATTTGTATAGCCCCAATATCCAGCTCAGCTGCTCAATTGCACTTTGGATGTCAATCACTGGATGTCAATATCAATGGCACATCATATTTTTCAATCTCAACTCCCTGGGGATCATACAATCATTAATGGTATACAGTGAGGTCTGGTCAGCTCAACGTCAGAATGTTGTTTCTGATTGGGTATCCATGTTAAACTGTATCTCAGTGGTCTGGCTCTCTAAATCCAGTCTTGATTAGTACAAGCAGCTGAAAGTGAAATGGTTTTGAACATGATGTTAAACTGAATTTCATGTCCCTCGTTGTGTCCAACCAGTGAAGGTGGTTTCCGTTGGTCAGGCTCACTGACTTGTTTCATACATGTAATTGGTATCCCAATGATGTCAATCACTACATTTACAGACCGCAGGGGGTTGTGGGGTAGCCTAGTGGTTAAAGTGTTTGCTCGTCACACCAAAGACCTGGGTTCGATTCCCCACCTGGGTACAATGTGTGAAGCCCATTTCTGGTGTCCCCCCACCAACATATTGCTACAATATTGCTAAAAGTGGCGTAAAACTAAACTCACTCATCACTCGTACACACCGTAGTCATTTAGCTGGAACATTTCTGAATGTGACTTTAAACAACAATCAAACAAACAAACCTCATCGTGGCCATACACAGCAAAGTTTGTCACACATAGTGTCTCCGCGGCTATTTCAAGGTAATAAGATGTCCATCTTTATGTGAGTTCAACAGTGTGTATTGTGTTCCAGGGAGCTCTATTTCTGTTTTTTTGCTGGTCGTGTGGAAGAAGTCCAAGGAAATATAGATGAAGTAAGTAGATGTCTTCATGGATTTTTCTGATGCTGCACATTCCACACCTTGTCTGTAGCAAGTCTGAAACAGAAATGACATAGTTCCCAAATTTGTTATAATGCAGTGTGGAGTGTGGCTAATGTGTGAGTTGAGATAACTCATATACCAGGACCAATAAAGAAAATGAGTTTTTTCATCTTTTTCATTGAATGCAATGAAAATATACATCAGAAATTAAGAAACTAATGACTTTAAGAAATTCCAGTTTTGCACAAGTGAACAACTCATTCCCAGTTTCCTGCCATGGGCACTTCTCCAAGGCTTTGAATGCTAGAATCCTTGCTGTAAAGGAGGCCCAACATTGTATATCTTTATTTACCCTGTTATAAGTACATCTATGATCTAATGTAAATATTTCCCCAAATCTTTGGGTGAGCTTCAGTGTCTTCTGGTTCTGATTTTACAGAAAACTGTTTACTAACATTCATATTGCACAAAAGTACTTAGAGCTGAGACCCAAGCATGTATAGTTTAACACAGATTTCCAATAACCATAGCACCATCGTGTATGCGTGCAAGTGGTTTGTAAAGTAATGTCTGTGTTGCAGGCTGTGTACAAGTTTGAGGAGTCCATTGCGTCCCAGTCTGAGTGGAGGCAGTTTCATCACCTATGTTTCTGGGAGCTCATGTGGTGTCACTGGTTTGTATATACATTTCTTATAGCTGTATAATTGGTTTTCACATAGAGACTTTGTGAAGGAAGATCATTTTTTATACAAGATAGCTGAAAGCCATGGTAAGGCTGGTGGAAATTATCATCCAATCCATGTCATAAATCCAAAATGTTTTGTCCTTTAGGTAACTTCATTTTTAACCTCATAATAGAAAGAGGTCTTATTCTTAGATCGATACTCTTACATTGAATACAGTCTCAAAATACAATGTTTAAATACTTTTGAATTTTAACAAATAACAACTTCGTTTAAATTCAAATTTTGTACAAGATTTAATTTTTTCCTCTAATTTGCCTTCTTCAGACTTCTGTATAAACCCCTGTGTTGACATAACAATTAGTGACTGTATTAAGATGCAGTAAATGAGTTTGTATATCAAACTTAACATTGTTATTGTATGTAGGGTTCTGGATCAACTCAGTTCTGAAGACATCAACTGATTGTCACTTCAGCCTCCCATGTAGTGGAGAATGTCCTAACAAAAGTTGATAGTCCTAGAGATGTCCTTATGCCATTTGTCTCTACAAACCCTTTTGTCTCCAGCTTCAAGGGGACTGGCTGATTGCTATGAAGTACGCAGAGCGGTTGTGTCGTGAGAGTCGGTGGAGCAAGGCAACCTACACATATCAGAAAGCGTCCTTCCTCATGATGTGTGACGACCAGACGGAGGAGACACATGCACACATCTCATTCCTCTTCAGGTCAGAATAACAGCAGTGTATAATAAGGACTTGGTAATCTGGGTGTTGTTGTACAAAACAACCTTAGCCCTAAGACTACCTGAAGTCTATGTTAAGGTATCTGAGTTACGGTTACCTTAGTGCTAAGACTACCTGAAGTCTATGTTAAGGTATCTGAGTTACGGTCACCTTAGCGCTAAGACTACCTGAAGTCTATGTTAAGGTATGGGAGTTACGGTCACCATAGCTAAGACTACCTGAAGTCTATGTTAAGGTATGGGAGTTACGGTTACCTTAGCGCTAAGACTACCTGAAGTCTATGTTAAGGTATGGGAGTTACGGTAACCTTAGCGCTAAGACTACCTGAAGTCTATGTTAAGGTATGGGAGTTACGTCACCTTAGCGCTAAGACTACCTGAAGTCTATGTTAAGGTATGGGAGTTACGGTCACCTTAGTGCTAAGACTACCTGAAGTCTATGTAAAGGTATGGGAGTTCACGGTCACCTTAGCTAAGACTACCTGAAGTCTATGTTAAGGTATGGGAATTTACGGTCACCTTAGCTAAGACTACCTGAAGTCTATGTTAAGGTATGGGAGTTATGGTCACCTTAGCGCTAAGACTACCTGAAGTCTATGTTAAGGTATGGGAGTTATGGTTACCTTAGCGCTAAGACTACCTGAAGTCTATGTTAAGGTATGGGAGTTACGATAACCTTAACGCTAAGACTACCTAAAGTCTATGTTAAGATATCTGAGTTACGATTACCTTAGCGCTAAGACTACCTGAAGTCTATATTAAGGTATCTGAGTTACGGTAACCTTAGTGCTAAGATCGCTTTGTACAATGCAGGGTAAGAAACTCCCAAAAATTTCAGCCAGACCACAGGGCTAGCTACATGTAAAACTTGCCAGCCCTGACCAAAACTTACCTGCCCATAAAATATCTTCATGTACAGGTACATGTCTAAATTTTAACCCGACCCTCGGGCAGGTGAATTTGAGAATCTGACAGTCCATGTTGAAAATAACTAGTCCTGGGTGGTCGGGCAGGCATGTATTTTGAATGCTGATACAACGGCACCCTGGCCCCTTACAGACAGAACTGGATTACTATATTATTGGACTGTCAGTTCAGGATGCTTTGGAGGCTAAGGTTGTGAGCTTTGTACAATGAGGTGTCATGTCAGACGTTAATTGTTTTTCTTGTTACAGTAGTTACTTGTAAAAGTTATTTTTTTCTTTACATGCATGCATACATACATGCATACTTGCACACACACTCTCACACATATATATATATATAATCCAGTGGAGCCCAGGGTCCGCATGCTCAAAGTGATCTTAGTGCTACGATGATCGTAACTCCCATGCTTTAACATAGACTTAAGATGGTCATGACGCTAAGATCACTTTGTACAAAGGCACCCAGATATAGAATCCAAATGGAGCAAAGTACAGTGATTCCATCTAGACCTAGCAAATCACTGTAAACTGTCGTTAGATTACCTTTTTCAATTTATTCTATAATTTTTGGTAGACAGACTAAGTAAATGGTTCGATTAAGCCTGAATGACAGTCACACCAGCTAGTTAACTGATTGTTGTCTTTTCATGGTTACTAATTGATGGGAAAGCTCCATGGTCAAAGCTTGAATCTGTCTCATGGAAAACCCTGGTTCAATCCCCTTTATATTTCTCAAATATGACTAAGTGAAGTGTGACCCTTCCACTCACTCACTCACTACTGACAGAAGGAAAATTTGATAATTGTTAATTGAGTCTAATATAGTCAATAGTCAAGTGTTCATTGGAGAAATTGCCCAGATTTAAGAGCAAATCAATATTAGATTTCCAGATTATCAAGTCAGTTAGTGTGATACTTTTGTGGTAGTTAAAACACTAGTGTGATACTTTCATGGTAGTTATAATACTAGTGTGATACTTTCATGGTAGTTATAATACTAGTGTGATACTTTCATGGTAGTTAAAATACTTTTCCTGAGTGTTTAACTCTGACATCTCCATGTATGGATTTCAGTGAAGTCCCTCGTCTCAAGCAGAGAATAGCTGGTAAATCTCTTCCTTTTGAAAAGTTTGCTGTTGCTAAAGCAAACCGATTTGTTGAACAAGATGGACGACTCACATTACCTGCTCTGGTGAGTTTGAAAATAAAACAAATTGTGTTTTTCTCCAGTATTTGTATTATAAACTCTAGACACTACAGATTTCACTTTAAGGAAATATTCTACTGGTTAGCCATTATATTTTTGTTTGTTGGAAAGAGGTAAGCTGACCCTATCTTTTTTTAATTGGAAAATAATAATGATCCAGATTTCACCTTATTTTACTCAACTTGACATTAACTTTTGCCAAATTATTTAGTTGATGAAGTTGCTTCAAAATTACTAACACGATAGATGTGGTGGGCTTAATGGTTGTCGTGCAGCCTTGTTGTGTCAAAGACCCAAGTTTCATTCCTCACATGGATATTATTGTTCATACAGAGTATTGACAATCACATCATTCTTGCCTCACTTCTCGAGCTCATGACTGGGGTGGCTGGGTAGACGAGTGGTTAAATGGTTCGTTCGTCACCCAGAAGACCTGGGTTCGATTCCCCACATGGGCACAATGTGTGAAGCCAGCGTCTGGTGCCTGTCGCCATGATGTTGCTGGAATATTGCCCAAGCAGCTACAACCTCACTCACTAACTTGTCAAATAAATTCAGAGGTATATCCCTTGTCCTTGATTCACAGACTTGGTGATAATCATCTCGCTATTGAGGAAAAAACAACCAAAATAAGAAACTGCCAGATCTCTTGACTTACCAGTAATTTTCTAAGTATTTAGGCCAGGAGTTGTTAGGTTGTCCAGCCTTCTGGTATGACCTGACGTCGCTTCAAGTCTCTGAACTGTGAGACAATTATGATTGTATAGACATGTTGCATGATGGTATGGAGGTGCATCAATGGTGGATCAATCGTGATTCAGTGAAGGAATATAAAACACAACATTTATAACCTTCCAGGAACTGATCTATGTATGGAATGGATTCACCATTATTGGCAAGAAGATGGAGCTGCTGGAACCCATGCTGATGAAAATAGAGGAAGTCATAAACGAAATTCTTCAAAATAGGGGTAAGAGTGTTAGATGGTTGATTTATGATGCTGATGCATTAAGATTCAATACAAATGATTCAGCTTCAGAGGTATTCATGACAGATTCTAAAGAAAAACATGTTAGGATTCAGTGTCCATGAATAGTCCATGACTAAATGGAAGGACTCGGTCATGTGGTCGAATACATATCATTGAACCATGATTGGAGTGCATCACAGCTGATTTTATCTGTTTTTCTGACCCACCTCAGTTATATGCAGGTGGGTATGGCGTTAAACAGCCACCACACAAATCTTTAAAAAAGTCATAACTCCACCTTTCTCAATATGATACGGATACCTTATGATACAGTAATATATCCTGCATGTTGTGTTACAGATACATACCGTAATTTCCATGACGACTACTCCCTGGCGCTGCTCCTGAAGGGGGTGTGTCTGCGACACCGAGGTCAGGCATTCCAGGCAGAACAATGCTTCAAGGAAATCCTCTCATAGTGAGTTTTCCCATGTTCTGTCTTAAACAATATATACTTCACTAAACATGATGACAGATAAACTATAATGGCAGGAAGGAATCAGATTGTCCTTAGAGCTTCTTTTGAGTGAGTGAGTTAGTGAGATTAGTTTCACACCGCACTCAGCAATGTTCCAGCTATATGGCGGCAGTCTGTAAATAATCTGGACCAGGCAATCCAGTGATTAACAGCATGAACATCGGTCTACACAATTGGGATACGATGACATGTGTCAACCAAGTCAGCGAGCCTGACCACCCGATCCCATTAGTCGCCATTACGACAAGCATGGGTTACTGAAGATCAATTCTAACCCGGATCTTCATGGGTCAGCTTCTTTTGAGACATACATCACATAGCCTGTAAGACTGCCCTGTTACACCTGTAGGCATAGATATAAAGTATTTACTGTATTTATATTACCACCCCATGCTCATTAGGCAATAATCACAGTACCGTATTCATCTTAATAAGAGTCCTTGTGCTTCGGAAGTTTGCACAGGGGCACTTACTCTAGCCATAAGCAAGTTATTGTATTTTCATAGATTGGGCAAAGATACAGTTCAAATGTCAATGTAATTCAAACTTATTTATGACAGAGACAAGGTGATTAAATATCCTGTAACACTCCTGTTTTCTTTAAAAGGAATCTGTAATATATGCAGAAATATATGAAGTGATGTTTCTGATTTTCCAGTCTTACTAGGGAGTGCTTCTAAAAAATTACATACTGATTGGCCTAGAGGGAGGCTTATCAGAGCAAGTCACTTGATATTGTAAATAAAGTGATTCTTATAGATGATTTTCTGACGCACAGATAAGGCAACAGATCCTTGACAAAGGTTATGTGTAATATACTGTTGGATCAGCGAATTGATATATTTTTCCTTGCTTTGTCAGTGAGTCACACATCAAGTTGGACACCTACCTTGTACCCTACGCTTTTGTGGAGGTGGCCATCTTATACCTACAGGAGGACCGACTTGATGAAGTCAAGAAAATGCTGGATAAAGCAAAGTAAGATGTTTGGTTTATTGGTACTCAATATTCATTTTTATTTTTGAACTGATTGGTAGTGTGTCTGCCTGTACATTTATGTCTTGTTTTCTGAAATTACTGAAGTCTTCTGAGGCTGAAACTTTGCATGAATGATGTGGTGACTCAAAGCACTGTTCACATGACACAATTATGATTTTTAACACACAGCCATAGCATCCATTCTTGGTCCTGGATTATGAATTATGGATTATCCATTGATCAGCAGGGGTGTGCAGCATTTATTCACTTGGGACAGACCATCTGTAATTCCTTTTGTTGGGTGCTCTCTGTATCTGTGCTAGGACTGGAGCCACAGGTTTGCTTTTTTGAGACCCGATCCAACTTTACCAATTGTCATACTTGTTACGATCACTTTCACTAACTAGATCATTCTCTTTTCTCCAGAAAGAACTACAAAGGGTACTACCTTGAGTCACGGTTGCACTTCCGCATCCATGCAATCCGTCTGCAGCTTGAGAGTGCAAACAGCAGTGATGCTGAGGCATCATCTGCGCCACAGTCACCCGCACCCCAGTCACCATCCATGGGATCAATGACGAATTCCTTTGACTATGGTCCTGATGATGAACCTGACAGGTTCTCTACTGACTTGTGATCAGAAGTGTTCATGTTAGAGAAGGAGTATATCCTGCACTGCAAACTCTGCTGTCTGAGAGGCAAATGTCAGGCAACAGGTACTGGTTTCTCCAACAGGCTTTAATCATAGGAACCACAAGGACTCCATTCAGCAACAAACTGGACATGTCTCCTGTTTGTATGTTAGAAACAGATGTTGTCCAAAATATGTTATCAAAAGTCATTCCGTGTATGTCCAGAGACACTCAGTCATGTCATCATTTGCGTCTTTTAAACATCCCAAATAGCATGATCAACAAGCACCTCAAATAGGAACCATAGGATATAGGACATCCTTCCTAGGCGCTATTCCATGAAGTGATCATGGCTTTGACACTACTTTTTCATTGACTTCTAACTGTCACATATTAGGTAACGTTGTGGAACAGAGCCCATCAAACAATACACTCAGTGAGCATGTGCGCAACTGAAACAAGGACTTCATCTTATGGCCACAACCCATTGTGAAAAGGAGGACCCATCACCTTCACCTGCCATCCAAGAGCATGACAACCATTCACTGAACATGACCTTAACTTTCAGACCAAGGCAAGGATGTACATTCATCCTCAGTAGTCAGGATTTTTATTGGTTCATCAGATGCAATCCTCTTTTAAGTCTATTTGCATCACTTCTTTTGCACGATTTTTGCCAGGTAGTACTTGGTCCATTAAGTTCAAATCCATCGTGTCACATCTCAAGTCCATTGAGGATATGCTTGTCATAAGAGGCATCAAATGGGATTGGCTGGTCAGATTTGCTAAGATGGGCTTGGTTGACACATGGCATAGTATACCAATTGTGTAGATCGATGCTCATGCTGTTGGTCACTGGATTGTCTGGTCCAGACTCAATTATTTACAGATCTCCGCCATTTGCATGAATATTGCTGAGTGTGGCACTCACTCACTCACCCCATGGATGTTATCTTTAGTTTTTAGTGATATCATCAGGATGCATATGTATTCAAGATTCAGCTGTTATTGTATATAATATGTCCAAAATCTGTATAATAATGTGTGTTGTTCACAGTAGATGCTCATTTGATTTTATCAGACTATCAGTGTAGGGAAACTGTTTGTACACTTGTAATTGAATTGAATTGCTTTGAATTTAGTGTAATGATTTTGAGAGCTCATGAGAAATCGATTGAAGAAAAACTGATCATTGCCATTTCACCCTGGGTTTTGAAGCTAGCATTTGTGTCACCAGTAAACATGCCATTACACTTTGCTTGTGATCAACCTCACTTCCTCCTGATGCAAATGTATTGAGATGGTCTTTCATTGTATGATTACAATCATAATGTTCCGTGAATGGTCCACTCACACACATGTAGTGTGTATGTAGTGATTTTCCTATAAGATCAAGATGCAAGATTTCTCAGGTTTGTTGTAAGAGTTAGTGTTAGATGATAGAACGTTTGTTTAGATCACCAGCCTAAGGGACTACTTCATCACCACATTGTTTTACAATATGGATGATACATGAGTTATGGTTTGGTTTATTTCATTGTTGATACACATGAGTGTTATTTATGCACCCCCTCTTTTACAGATAGGTGATCAGAGTTACTCACTGTTGAACACGCAGAAGGGTAGTAAGGTGATGAACAGAATGCCTGGCACTATATGACACACTTAATGAAGCAGACGCTAGCATTTGGTACCAATTTACTGGCATTATTTGAAGAAGGTTGAAAACAATCATTTTGATAACACTGAACATATTTCCAGTCAGCACCCAGTCAGTGATGTACATTGTCACATTACAACTGTCACGTTATGCAGTGAAATACAATTACTGTCAACCTTGAAAACACTTCTGAACAGATCTCTGTGTTTTCTCCTCGTGGTGCTGATCAGATGTCTGAGGCTTCCCTCATGCTGCGTATCAGATGTCTGAGGCTTCCCTCATGCTGCTTATCACATGTCTGAGGCTTCCCTCATGCTGCGTATCACATGTTTAAGGCTTCTCTCATGCTGCTTATCAGTTGTCTGAGGCTTCTTGTGGTGTTGATCAGATGTCTGAGGCTTCTCCTTGTGGTGCTGATCAGAAGTCTGAGGCTTCCCTCATGCTGCTGATCAGATGTCTGAGGCTTCCCACATGCTGCTTATCAGTTGTCTGAGGCTTCCCTCATGCTGCTTATCAGTTGTCTGAGGCTTCCCTCATGCTGCTTATCAGTTGTCTGAGGCTTCCCTCATGCTGCTTATCAGTTGTCTGAGGCTTCCCTCATGCTGCTTATCAGTTGTCTGAGGCTTCCCTCATGCTGCTTCTCAGTTGTCTGAGGCTTACCTCATGCTTCGTATCACATGTTTGAGGCTTCCCTCATGCTGCTTATCAGTTGCCTGAGGCTTCCCTCACGCTGCTTATCAGTTGTCTGAGGCTTCCATCATGCTGCTTATCAGTTGTCTGAGGCTTCCATCATGCTGCGTATCAGTTGTCTGAGGCTTCCCTCATGCTGCTTATCAGTTGTCTGAGGCTTCCCTCATGCTGCTTATCAGTTGTCTGAAGCTTCTCCTTGTGTTGATTAGATGTCTGAGGCTTCCCTCATGCTGCGTATCACATGTCTGAGGCTTCCCTCATGCTGCTTATCAGTTGTCTGAGGCTTCTCCTTGTAGTGTTGATCAGATGTCTGAGTCTTCTCCTCATGCTGCTGATCATATGTCTGAGGATTATCATGGTGGTGCTGATCAGATGTCGGAGGCTTCTCATGCTGATGATCTGATGGCTGAGGCTTCTCCTTGTGTTTCTAATAAGTCTGATTTTCATTATGGGGATCCTCTGCTACATTCCAAGTGGAGTGCCTGGATCAAATCACTCCAGTTTTGGCAATACATGCATCCAACATGCCAACAAGTTAGGGTTTCATTGTTTGTCAGGAATTTTGAGAACTGGATACTGCATCGGGTGGTGCCTAATTAAGGCTTATGTGTATACATGTGTATATACTGACATGTTCGGCTTACAAATGTACATCATGAACAAAAACACCTTCAGTTGCTCTTGTTACATTTCATATCAATATATAATGTAATCATCAACAGTGAAACATCTTCAATTTCTTATTTATGAATTTTCCCCAAAATATAAGTTTTATGACAGAAATAGAAAGAAAGATGTGTTTTTTTAAAAGAAATTTATTTAAAAATGTAGTGTTATCTAATGTGAAAAACATATAGTGGTCTTGGTGAGAACTGTCTAAGTTGAAAATCATATTTGTAAATATCTAGGTGTTTTTGTTATCAAAGGGTTGTTTAAAAATATTGATAGTAAATCAGACCCCGTGGAAATGTTGTGAATGCAAATGCATAAAAAGCACAGATGAAAGTGTGAATTAATGCTTACAAATAATTTTACAGCTGAACTATATGAATGTTATGTGTTCAACTTCCTAGGCATATAACGTTGCCTAATATTAGTATCACAGCCCAATGAACAGGATTCAGTTTAATTAATTCATTTAATCAATCTTTAATTATAAAAGATATATTTGTTGAATCTGAATACTTTCAAGGGGGTCAAGATAAGCAGGGTTCCACTCTATATACCGAAACAAGAATGTTTGCATAAGCTTGGCAATGTACTTCCCTCACTTCGTTTTGAAAAATATTTTAAATGCAAAATAAAATATCGCCAACATCAAAGGTAGACACCCATTTCTTCACAGGGTTGTGCTCTCAGATTTCCAACCTCATACTTAATAATTACTCACGTAAAACATATTTCATTCAACATTTTAAGCGCCACTCGTGGCATATCTAAATGCCTCCATTATTCCTGTCACTCAACGGAGTGAAGGAACAAGAATAAGCTGAACCGAAGCAAGGGAAGTATGTTGCTAACCTTTGCTCGCTTCGCTCGTATATAGGAAGACTGGTCATTTTTCTCTCTGTTGTGCAACCTATTTGCGCTACAGTTTGCCTGTGGTTTAATATTGAGACTGAACTCAAGAAATTATCTTCAGCTGTGTCTTTGATGGAATCTGGATGTAGGATTATTATATAACTGAACAAGTATTTACATTTTCAATCATTTATTGATGTACATACATTTACAAACCATTTCGTGCAGTCAAATGCACTTTCGCTTCTGTGATATTTGTAGATAAGCATGTAGTTATGGAAAATGTTTTACACAAAAATATTCCTGTTATATTTGAACGTTTTTAAACATATGCATAGCATGGATGTTGTGTGGAAGTCATATTGGAAGGGGTTTCTTTAATATACTATTGACTGAAATTAGCCATGTTCACCTTTAATTTTGATTTTACAGAACACTTGAGTGTACAGCAGTATATTTTACTTCCTCAGCTGGGTACAATTTGAATGAAACATGTCATATTTGATAAGAACCAAGAGGATAAGGGATTTGTGTTTCAGGAAAGACTTTACTCGGCAGCTTGTGCCTGGAAACCTGACCTGGCCCGATTTCTCAATAGAAATTTCTAACTCAGTTGCATTTATAAGACCAAAAATTCCACAACAACTCAAATAACGTATCTACCAAACTCAGATTGTCTACTATGTTTACATTCAATATCAAGTCCAGTTCATTCTAGGAAATGCATTTTCCTGTGTTTTCTCAAATTTGAGTAAAAACTGTAACTTAAATGAAAACTCAGACTTAAATTTATTTTGAGAAATCGGGGCCTGGACTGGAGTACCCAATGTCAACAGTAAACTGGCACACAATAAAAAATATGTTCATGTGGGCAGCATCAACATGAAATTACGTCCAGACACTTCCATGTCTGCAACTGGTGTATTACAGAAGTTATCTCCCCTGATCAATGATCATGTCCTTGACATTGGACTTGATGCAACTAAATCCCACCTGTGCTCCAGTACCTGTGTACTCTAAAAAATGTTGTTAAATGTGTTTGTTTCTGTAATTTCGTTGATATGAACTCTGAGTAAAGATTGGGTAACACAGAGCCTGATAAGTGTAATCATACCTAGTCAGGGTAGGATCTTGCTCATAATATCAATCACTGGTTTGTCCGGTCAGACTGATCATTTACAGGCTGCATTAATATAGCTGGAATACACCTGAGTGTGATGTTAAACTACATACAAACAGTGGCCTCCAGCTACAACAGGGGTGGAAATAACCCATTGCCCGACGTCCGAGTCCAGTGTTTTTTTCTGTCGGGCAAGCAAATTTGTATATCACGCTGTACCGGTGTCCAGTTGACTTTCCAATGTTAATAATGTTATTTATTTAAAAAATCAACAAGAAAACGGACGGTATAGTGGAAAATTTATTAGGGCAAGTGATATTACATGTGCCACTGTAACAGAGTACACTAGCAATTTTAAAGTTATTTCCACCCCTGTACAAACTGTTCAAGTTCAGGAAGTCTTAGGATCATGCATTAGTGATATGTTGTTTTTTTCTCGACTTCTAATGGCCAAGTTATTTCTGTGATAATGTTTTCTTGTTGATGATATCCTATTAAACATCCCACCTCCTATTTGTGTTTAATAAACAATCATGAGGGAAGTATAGTTCCTTTTCTGTCTCAATTCAAGTGTATTCCTAAAGCTAATGCGTCATTGAAGCTGGGGTCTTTAAGCATTTCAGTTTTCATGTAACTAGTAATACTATTCAGCTTTGTGTATGAGTGGGTGAGATTTGCTAGACTTCTATGCAAATGGCTCAGTCTCCATCAATGAATATAGCAACCTTTCTGTTGTACAGCTTGAACGTAAGCATCCAGCATCAGTGTATTGTAGTCTCAGCAGAGCACAACCCAAACATCGTGGCAGACATGGAGAAAAATGTTAAAAGACTTATTATGTTTGAGGGGCTTGAGGTCCTGAGGGCATTATCCTTAAACCTTTTTTTGTTTTACTGAGA